TTGGATCAATAAAGATTTTTCGATAAAATGTCTTCGGAAATCCAAACGATTTGTATCTAACGAATCAGTTATTGAGACGGTAGTTAGTTGGTTGAGTTCAGTTCCTTCTCTTTCTTCGATCCCAAACTATGAATTGGATGAAATCCAACTCCTCGAGGATTTTCCTGAATCTTTTCTGTTATAAAGTATATTTTCTTCTTATGTTCTTTTTCTTTGTTTGTCATTTTTACTTTTGTTTCTTAATATATTGTTTCTTTTTTCTCTTCTATTGTTATCTTAGTTTGGTCTTTTGGTTTTTCTCTGTCTGAGGCTGTCTTGTGATGCGTTGTGATTATTGATAATATTGTTTTTCATTCGTATTATGTTTCCTTTTCTTTTCTTTTTTTCTTATTTTTATGTACTGTTAGGATCTTTTAAAGATCACAGTTATTGCATAATATAAAAAAAAAAAAAAATTGCATTAAAAATACGTTTAAATTCAGTCTTATTATGTACTGAATAATATAAATATATATTAAGTAGTGAAGATTTAGCAAGAGCTATCAAATCAGATAAAAAAAATATACATTTAAAAGAAAATGCGCTTATTAATTATATTAATTTGTCTAATTATTTTGTGGAACTCACGTATATTTTCGAAGAAAATAGTGAGTGTAAGTTTTAAGTCCGCGGTTTGGCGGCTCCCCTCCCACTCCATTACAGACACATATCAATGGAGAAAGAGAACATTACAGACATACCCCCATTACAGACATACTCCCCTCATTACAGACCATAGCAACTTCACAAAAAAAGATTCTACTCGAAGTATATAAATAAAAAAAGACAACATTTGCTGACAATCAATTATCATTAGAAAAGAATTATCGTCTTGGGAAGAATTTAAACACTATATATTTTGCCATTGGCATAGTGAAAGTAAAGAAGATATGTGAGTTCCACATTTCAGCCCCAAAGGGGCTGCGCTAGCAAGCTTTCTTTTCTTGATTTTGAACAATAAATACTAGATTTTTATCTGAAAGCTCGTCGTTATAACACTAAAACGAATCTGGAACATAGTTATATATCAAAAGAACACTTTCTGCTTTTTACCTGCTTTCTGATGATAAAAATTCTGTCAAATTCCGATTTTTGAAATTACTTTCTGCTTCTCAGAGTTGAAGAAGTGGCAGTACTGATGTGGGTGATGGTGCAGGTGTGAGCATGAGTGCGGGATGTATCTGTTTCTATGTCTGTAAATAAATAAAATATTAAAATCAACAACTATATGCCCGCCCATCATCCACGCCACTGATACGCACCCCACATCCACCCGGATCCAGAGCCACACACTCGCTCCCACAACCATGCCCACCCTTCATACCGGTGCCAACATTCACAAACATCACACCCACCCACATAGGGATGCAACGGTGACAGAGTTTCGACAGTATTTCGTACCAACGGTTATCGACCTAACTACGATAACCGTAGGTGCGATGAGAAAACGGTGAAGACCGAAAAAGACTACGGTACATCTACGGTGAAGGCCAACATATTTATAGTGCCTAGTCATCTTAGTGAGAGGTGCCTGTCTAAGATAAAAATGGTCTTCATCGTAGGTTCCCGTCAAGCTACCGACTTCACCGGTCTCTACAATCATCTAACATAGTGGTTAAGACCGATGAAGCCGGAAACTTGATGGGAACCTACAGTGAAGACCATTTCTTTCTGTTAGTCAGATACCTCTCACTAAGATGACTCGGCACTATAAATATGTTGGCCTTCACCGTAGATGTATCGTAGTCTTTTCGGTCTTCACCGTTTTCTCATCATACCTACGATTATCTTAGTAGGACCGGTAACCGTAGATACATTTATCGTCACCGTTGCATCTCTACACCCACTGCTAAACATGTACCTCAAAACACTCTATACTCACATCTTCAATGAGCGGAATAACCAGTCACTAAGAATGTAGTAATACTAAGGCATGAAACTGAGTAGTAGGAATGTTCACACATGAAAATAGAAAGGCTAAAAAATTTCGAATATTCAACGACTAGAAGTATACAATCGCTTGAAAGTCAAGATACAAAGATCTAAGGGTTGCTGCGATGAAGAAGTTCTATTGACGTTCTCTGTTTATCCCCTTTTTACTGATCTTTTTCTTTGCCTTACTATATTTCTCTATGTTTGGTCTTAATCGTTTTCTTTTCATTTTTCTATAATTTCTTTATTTTTAAAACTTAAAATATAATCTAAAAAGTAAAAACAAGAACAAAATATAATAAAATACATATTTTAAAAGTCCGTGCTAATTTATCATATCGAACCTGTCATAAGAAAGGGACTGACTGCAGTTCCTCCAAAAATCGTGCGATCATCACAAATACAGATCAAAGTCTACCATTGTTTTCCTTGAAGATGGTCAACATATAATATTTCATATGCTGATCCTTATGAAATAAGATGAAAGCTGTTTTCTTTTTGGTATAGGCTTCTTGGAGCCGATATGCGAGAAGAAAATTGTAATATTCCCCATCTGGTAGAATTAACATATACGTACTTCTGATTCTTATTCAATTATTTTGGATTAATATGGTATGTATATAAAAGGTAATGGATACAAGATAAGATATTGTATTTTGATTCAACGAAAAAATATTAAGTTTGTAATCAAAGCGATGCGAACAGCATATGTATTATTGATCTGCTTTGTCACGTGAGTAGCTCTATGAAACTCTTATTATTTAAATACTATGTAGAATTCTGATTTTTTTAAGTGCGTCTGGTAAGTTTCATTAGTTTGAGATACATGTAAAATATTTTTATCATCATCAGTACACAACGTTGAAGGACAAACATGCCAAAGTAATAATCAATATGGTCGATGTTCGACAAATCCTGAATGTGGCTGTCTCCCTATGACCCTAACAAAAAATGGCGGTATGTGTGCTTATCTACTTGACATCTGTTCTGAGTTACAACCCTGTGAAAGTAATAATCGAACTTGCCGTCAAGCTGGTCATATATGTGTAATGTATTCGCGATGCAATAATCGATCGGTATGCTATCCATTGGAATTGAGTAGTCAATACTTATGTCCACCACTGAACTCAAGTGAGTAATATACACAATATATGGAATAAGTAGGTTTATTTTCTTTTCCATCACTGAATCAGCTATTCGTAACGATGGTATTTGTCCGAATGCAACATGGAATAATGAAAGTATTACCGTGGTTGGTGGTAATGGAGCCGGTAGTGCGATGAATCAACTTTTTTATCCCATGGGGATGTATGTGGATCATGATGGTATCGTATATGTTGCTGATTCGTACAATCACCGTATTGTCAAATGGATGCCTGGTGCTTCAAGTGGAGAGCTCGTGGCCAGCTCTCAACAATTACAAATAGAAAAAAATCAATTGGAGTATGTTGCATCGTTTGTTGTTGCCAAAAATGGAACCATGTTTGTTTGTGATCGACCAAATAGACAAGTACGACGATGGATTCCAGATGCAAATGAAGGAGAAGCGTTTATTTTTAATATTTCATGTTCTGGAATATTTCTTACAGAGAACGGCTTCTTATATGTAGCTGGAGATGAGAAAGTTATCAGATGGCCTGGCAATGAAGTGGTTGCAGGCGGCAATGGCGCCGGACCTGGTCTCAATCAATTTTCTGGTACATCTCGTATATTTGTCGATCAAAATGAAGTAGTTTATGTGGCTGATGCCGGAAATCATCGTGTAGTACGATGGCCGCATGGTGCTAAAGAAGGAATTCTTGTCGCTAAAGGCGTTGTCGGAGGATTTTCATTACATACGCCCATCGGTGTAGTAGTTGATCAGATGGGTAGTACATACGTACTGGAATATGGTACATCGCGTATAACTCGTTGGCTAAAAGATGATCCTTATAATGGCATAGTTATTATTGTAGACAAGCCAACCACAAATAATCCAGTTCCATTAGCGTCATACACGTACAGATACGAATTATTGTTTGACGCCGAAGGAAATTTGTATGCTGTCGATCAATACAATCATCGTATTCAAAAGTATCAGATTGACAAAAGTGCTTGTTTGTGAGATATCGCTTGCAAAAAAACAATAACTAGTTATATCAACAACATCTTTTTGCACCTACTTTATTTTTTAAGCATTTTCAATTAACTGAAGGTGACATCTATGGTTTTTAAGTGTTGTGCTTATGAATAAAATTAAGTTGCAAAAATAAATTTCATAGCTATCATTAGTCATCAATCAATTGAATTTAGTTTGGAACTATAGAAAATTTGAAATTTAATTTACATGAAAAAAGTTGACTGTCTTGCATTATCAATTTGATTGCGCTCTCATTTTCGAAATCGATGAACAAAGAGCGTTCATGAAGGCAAAGAAAACGGGAAAGGATTGAATAGTAGCTGATACATTCGTCAGTTTCCCGTGAGGGTGTGACTGTGGCTATTGTATTCGTCTATACCCATACCTACACCCTCACTATCACGTCACCCTTGTTTGTTCTTTTTATATCATTAGTTATTTTTTCTAATGGATAGAGGGTATGAATGTGGATTGTAAAAGCAGAAGGATCACATCCCCACCTACTCTACATAAAAAATGAGTTAATTGTGTTTTTCTTGCAAGCTAAAACGTAGAGAAAGGACCCCACCGATTGAGAGGTGACATCTGCCCCTCCACAAAGATGCCAATTTTATATCATAGTTTTGTAGTTTAGACCCAACCCTAGTCCCAATCCTGCTCATTTCTTGAGAAATCCTGGAAGGATCTTTCACGATCCCGAATATCAAGGATCCTATCAAATTTTATTCAGGATCCCGTTTCAAATCCTGGTAATTCCTGTTTCCAGGATTTTTGAAGGTGAAAAAAGGTCCTGTTCAGGATTTCTTCAGGTATCTGCTCAGATTTTTTCTGAGTTGAGAATACAGGATCCTACCAGGATTTACTCAATATCCTATCAATGATCCTCTCAAAATTATAAGAGAGAATTCTACCAAGATTTTATCAGGTTTTCGTCAGGATCTAGATCAAATCTTTGTATCAGCATCCTGTCAGGACTACCATTCACACCAGATGAGAATCTTAGAAAGAAAATAACAAGATTACTCAGAGTACGAGGTCGACTAATTCTGCAAGCTTTTAATCAGAATCTTATTCAGAACCCTTCAAGAATATGCGTTTCCACATTTTGTAAGACAGTTTCAATTTTAATTAGGATCTTGATGAGAGAATATGAGGACTTAGCGAAGGTCTCTACTAGAGGGTGTGGAGTGTGGGTGTGTAGATATGGGTGTGGGTGTGGGCGTGGGTGTGGGTGTGGGTGTGGGTGTGGGTGTGGGTGTGGGTGTGGGTGTGGGTGTGGGTGTGGGGGGGGGTGGGGGGGGGGGGGGGGGGGCGGGGGGGGGGGGGGGGGGG